TCTCCTTCCGGGCCTCTCTCGGCGTCAGGCTCCTCAGCCTCACCTCCTGACTCGCGCGGGTTATCCGGGTAGACCTTGGTGGGAGGAGGCGTTCCGCCTAATTTGGGGTTAGAAAAGTGGGGGTTTCTTATACATGGGGGTGTTTTATAACAGACCAATAAGGTATGTAACTAAAATGTTGACAATGAAGAAACTGTAGGCAAGAGATCAGAAAAGTCTGAGAGGTGGAAGGGTGCTATGAAAGGACTAGAAAAGATCCTTAAGAGCAAGGTTGTTGAAGACCAAGTTCACTTTGTCCTATGATATTCCTGATTGCTATGTCCAGCTGTTGAGAGCTGGACAGTGAAAAAAGCCAAGGATAGGAAATCTAATTTATGAAATGTAGGGTTTCTGGAGAGCTTTATGGAAACCACACTCTACCAGAAAGATCAAATAAAGCCTGAACTCTCTCTAGACTAGAGAAGCTAAAGACAATAATGCTGGAAAAATTGAAAGTATCGGGAAAAGAGGAATACTGAATATAAGATGGATTCCCTCAGTCTAGGAAGCCTTGAGTTTGCAAGACCTGAGAAGGACCATTAACCACAGGACTTTTGGAGGAAATGTTTCACACAGGAAGCAAAGAAACTCTGTGCTGGTCTAAGCTTTCTCGTCATTTCTCCCATACAAATACAAAACCAGTCATGAGTCCCAACAGACCCATGACTGGTTTTGTATTACACACAAGTTCCCCACAGGCAATCAAAGCAGTGTCTCCAAAGGGATCGTAGGTCATGGTCAGCTGCAAATTTGAGGGAGCTATTTACATTAAGGTCCATAGAGGTAGGAGTTGCTCCCCTCAGACTTACCTGTGGTAGGAATCTTTTGCTAATGGATTTAGCCACCATTTTCATTTCCAGCAGTGTTCCAGGTCCCTGTGGTATCAAAGGCATTGTAAGAAATTAATATGGCTCCTAGATGTAATTAGTCACACAGAACATCAAACCAAATGTATTTAATGGGGGGAGGGGAGGAGTGTGCACTCTCAAAGAAGATATCAGCAGCACCAGAGTCTGGCCGTTATACAGTATTTCCACAAGAACTTGTGTTACTAATTACTTGGACAAATATACGTTGACGTTACTGCCGTTACCCCAATAGCAGGGGAGATAGGGAAAGTTACAAAAAATTAAATGCAGACTTCCAAAGAATAGCAAGGAGAGACAAGAGGACCTTCTTAAATGACCAGTGTAAAGAGAGGAAAATTATAGAAAGGGAAAAACCAGAGATCTGTTCAAGAAAATTGGAGATATTAAAGGAACATTTTGTGCAAAGATGAACATGATAAAGGATAAAAATGGGAGGGACCTTACAGAAGCAGAAGACATCAAGAAGAGGTGGCAAGAATCCACAGAGGAATTATACCACAAAGATCTGGATGTCCCGGACAACCCAGATAGTGTGGTTGATTACCCTGAGCCAGACATCCTGGAGACTGAAGTCAAGTAGACCTTAGAAAGCATGGCTAACAACAAAGCCAGTGGAGGTGATGGCATTCCAGTTGAACTATTTAAAATCTTAAAAGATGTCGCTGTTAAGGTGCTACACTCAATATGCCAGCAAGTTCGGAAAACACAACAGTGGCCAGAGAATTGGAAAAGATCAGTCTACATCCCAATCCCAAAGAAGGGCAGTGCCAAAGCATGCTCCAACTACCATATGTGGGACAGGAAGCAACAGTTAGAACTGGATATGGAACAACTGATTGGTTAAAAATTGGGAAAGGAGTACGACAAGGCTGCATATTGTCTCCTTGCTTATTTAACTTATATGCAGAATACAGCATGCGAAAGGCAGGACCGGATGAATCCCAAACCGGAATTAAGATTGCGGAAAGAAATATCAACAACTTCAGATGATGCTGATATGCAGATGATACTGCTCTGATGGCAGAAAGTGAGGAGGAATTAAAGAACCTCTTAATGAACGTGAAAGAGGAGAGCGCAAAAATGGTCTGAAACTCAACATAAAAAAAAACTAAGATCATGGCCACTGGTCCTATCACCTGCTGGCAAATAGAAAAGGAAGATATGGAGGCAGTAACAGATTTTACTTTCTTGGGCTCCATCATCACTGCAGATTGTGACAGCAGCCACGAAATTAAAAGATGCCTGCTTCATGAGAGGAAAGTGATGACAAACCTAGACAGCATCTTAAAATGCAGAGACATCAGCTTGCCAACAAAGGTCTGCATAGTCAAAGCTATGGTTTTTCCAGTACTGTACTGATGTATGGAAGTGAGAGCTGGACCATAAAGAAGGTCATAAAGAGTCAGACACGACTTAACGACTAAACAACAACAACAACATTGGAAAGTAGCACTCTAGTTCTTTCAATAGCTATGGTCTTAAATGGTTAGAAATTAGAATCCCTTGAAGGAGAACGCAATGGGAGCTTCTCCTACCCTTTTCTATTGAAATGCAGAAGATGAAATAACACAGGCCGGGAAAGCATCTAAACTTCCCATAAAGTTGAAAAGAAATAGGAGGAGTTTGCAGGGTGTTGTTGTGAGATCTCGCAGTAACCACGGTTTCCACAGCAACGCTGCCGACGGATTCTAAACCCGGCTCCCAGCGTTTCTCCAGTTTGACGGACTTGCTCAGACCCATTGCAAGGTTGTTACTTTGCCAAGGATCTCGTTAGATTGACCGTTATTCGCGGGAGAGGGAGAGAGAGCGAAAGAGGACTGGGTCTCGCCGTGCCTCTGGTGAGATTCTATTTCTTTGTAGATAAAAGCTCCCCACCGTTTTTTCCCCTCCCCCTTCCGGTCAATGCTGGCAGGAGGAGGCTTAGCAGACGCCTGTTGGGTTCTCAGTTAAAAGAAACACGGCGACGCGGTTTGTGTGCTGTTGAAGCTGCTGTGGCTTGTCCCTTAATGAATATGCACGTGGTTGCAAACAGGCAGCCCGAGATCATGTTTCTTTAACTTGAACACAAGTCCCTCCGTACTGGAGCTAGTCCTGAGGGAGTATCTCGCCGGGCAGCCCCCTTCTTCCCCTCATATCTTAAATCTCTATTGACCCTCTGCATGTGTGCTAAATCTCTTTTCATCACTAGTCAGGACTTTTCCTGCTTGTTTGCCTCGATAAAGTTTCCAGCTTTTGGTGGGGGGGGCATGGGTGCAGGGGGGAAGTATTATTAAGCTGTCATAATTTGGGTACATCATGGGAAGGCGTGACTCGCTGGAAAACATAATAGTTCTGGGAAAAGTTGAAAGCAGTAGGAGAAGAGGAAGATAAAATATGAGGTGGATTGACTCCCTAAGCAGTGGTCCCCAACCTTGGGCCTCCAGATGTTTTTGGACTACAACTCCCAGAAGCCTTTACCACTACCTCTGCTGGCCAGGATTTCTGGGAGTTGAAGTCCAAGAACCTCTGGAGGCCCAAGTTTGGGGACCACAGCCCTAAAGGAACCTTGAGTTTGCAGGTCTGTTGAGGACTGGACATTTTGGAGGTTACTCATCCATAGGATAGCCATAAGTCAAATGTGACTTGATGACATGTAACAACAACAAAGGGGAAAAGAACAATGGCATTTACCTCCAACAACTGGACCATTTACAGTATTTATTTGTTTATTTAATTATTTAATTTAAAATATTTTTGCCCCACCTTTCTCCATAAAAAGGACCCAAGGCAGGTTACAGCACTGAAGGACAATATTTAAAGTTGAAAACAATAAGCATATAGTGGTGGTTAACATCATTAAAAGACAATCTTTAAAGCTAAGAACAGTAAATATAAAGCGGCAGCTCATGCCATTAAAAGACGATATTAAAGCTAAGAACAAAAGTATACAAATATTAAAACGGAAAAACAATTGCCACTCTGAGAAATGGAAAACACAAGTCATAATAAAAATCCAGTCAAAGCAGTAATGCATAACGAACCATATAAAAATCCCACACAGGTAATTAGCTACTGAGGGAAGGCTTGCCGGAAGAGAAAGGTCTTTGCCTGCTTGCAGAAGGACAGCAAAAATGGAGCCAGCCATGCTTCCAGTGGGAAGAAGTTCCAAAGTCTGGGAGCAGCAACAGAGAAGAAAGGCCTCTCCTGGTGATCTTAACACCTGAGCCAGCTTATAATGGAGGATACAGTCTTTGTGATGCTTGGACCCAGGCCATTTAGGGCTTTATAGGTTAAAACCAGCACTTTGAATTGTTCCTGGAAACTGATCAGCAGCCAGTGGAGCTGCAGTAACAGGAGCTGCTGTGTGGTCCCTGTAACCAGCCCCAGTCAGCAATCTGACTGCTGCATTCTGGACCCACTGAAGTTTCCTGGCATTTTCCATCACCAGCCCCAAATAGAGCATGTTATAGTAATCCAGCCAGGAAGTAACTAATGTGTCACAGTGGCCAGATCAGATCTCTCAAATAATGGACATAGCTGGCGCACTAGTTTTAATTATGCAAATACACTCCTGGACACCACTGAGACTTGGGCATCCAGCCTCAGGGATGAATCCAGGAGCATCCCCAAGCCACACACCTGTTTTTTTTTTCCCAGGGGGAGTGAAACCCCATCCAGTACAGGCTGCATCCCTATTTCTTGATCTGCCTTTTGACTGACCAGAAGGACCTCCGCCTTGTCTGAATTAAGTTTCAGTTTACTCACCCTCATCCAGTCCATTATTGATACCAAACACTGATCTAGAGCCAAAACAGCTTCCTTGGATTTAGGTGGTAAGGAGAGGTAGAGTTTGGTGTCATCGGCATACAGTGGTGCCTCAATTTACGACCGTCCTGACTTGTGACCGAGTTACAACCAGCTCTGGCCACAAAATTTTGCTTTGACTTGCGACTGGAGCGTTGAGTTACGACTGGAAAAAAGGTGGGGGGAAATGCAGGGAATTTAAATTGCTAACCATTGGTCGGCGAAGAGGCTGCTTCTTTGTAGCTCTTTCGTCCCAGTGGTTAGAGAGTGTGTGTTCAGAGGAGGCTTCGGACTGCCTGGTGCTGCTTTCTGCTTTTTAAAATGCCTGTTCCGAGTGAGTACAGGGTTTTACAGTGTGGGTTTGGGCTAGGGGGGGTTATGTTTCTGTGTTGTGTGTTCAGATGGGTCTTACAGGGTTTTTTGTGTGTATGTGTGTGTTTTGGTGTGTGTGTGGGTTTTTTGGCCCACACAGATTAATCGCGCTTCCAATGGGTCTTGCAGTGTTTTTTGGTGTCCCCCCCCCCGGCCCGAATGGATTAATTGCGTTTCTGATGGGTCTTGCAATGTTTTGTGGTGTGTTTTTTTGTGTGTGTGTTTCCCCCTGTCCTGAATGGATTAATTGTGTTTCAATGCATTCCTATGGGAAATGGTGCTTTGAGTTACAACCAACTTGAATTATGACCATCTTCCGGAACCAATTAAGTTTTTAACTCAAGGCACCACTGTACTGGCGAAAAGGGAGATGGATGGCCACCCTATGTGAGGAGGCTTCCTCCTTCACCTCTCACTGCTCCAGCCAAATCCCCGCCCCCAAAAGTTGAGAACTTATTCTTATTCCACTGAAAAGTAGGGAAGTACATTCATGGCTGTTATTCGCAGAAAGGTAACTCAGTTCTAAGTCATGACCGCAAAACTTTATTTATAAAAGTTCAAAACAAGTTACTTCGTTACTAGAGATGGGGGTATTCATATACAGCTGGCAATAACGACGGTCCAGCCCCATGGGGCTGGATGGCCCACCCACAATTCTGTTGCTGCCGCGAGCTCCGGAATCCTTCTTATCACTCTGGAGCTTGCGATCTGTGAGCCACTTTTCAACCTGGCAGAGAGGCTTGTCGTCCCGCATTCTCCCATCTCTATTCGTTCTATTTCAGAGGTAGGCATTGCCAGTAAGCTGAGATGCAGAAAATAACCAGGATGGCAAATACAGAGTTTATTCATATAATTCCTTCCATTGAAGCTGTGATCTATAAGCAATGAATTGCAAATATGCTTTGATAATTTTACATACTTTATATATATATTATAATTTTATATACATACATATATATAATATTGCACACAGAGACACACACGTATTATGAAATCAATTTCATAATACAGTGGTGCCCCGTATAGCGGAATCATCGCTAAACGGGTAGCGTTTAATGCGTTCCAATACCTTCGTTACTTACCCGTTCAGCGAGGATTCCAGGTGCTGGCAGCCATTTCCGGGCTTCCGGTGGCCATTTTGGAACCGCCGATCAGCTGTTCGGCGGCTCCAAAATGGCCGCCGCAATACCCGATCTTCGCAATGCGGGTTTTCCCCATTGCGAAGATCGGGTATGTTTCCGTATAGCGATCCCGAAAAAGGGATCGCTATACGGAAACATCGCTATACGGTGCACTCGTTAAGCGAGGCACCACTGTATTTTATATATACATGTACATTCTTTAAAAAATATTTTTCTTTTTTGCTATTATGGAAGTACTCTGAAAACTGTCCAGTGTTGTGTAGCACTTGTCTTACTTCCAATCTTCAGGATAAAATTATAGTTATTTTCGTAATTTCTTTTTAACTAAATTAGTAACACATTCAGCTTTAGACACCTGCAAAACTGACAGCTGTGAGCAGGTCTAACTCTGAGAGTGAACAGTGTGCAAAATGAATTTTTTAATATAAACCATTAAAGGATAAACAAGTCCCTGGAACAAGAATTTTTAGATCACAGTCAGTTTGAGTTGTACATTTAAATACAAGAATAAAGTTATCTTGCACTGTTTTCTATCATTTGATGAGTTTGCAGAGAAAATACACAAATGTGGAAGACCCCGTCAAATATTAAGGAGAAAAGGAACGGTGGAGGTCACTATGAATCTCTTGGTCCCTAGGGAAGGCTCCAGCCTATAAACTTCTTCCATTGCATTAACTGGGGAAATTGTTTTTAAAACTGATCCACTGGGGGAAAGTGGAGGAGGGAATATCTTCCATACAACAATTTGCCCTGGTCAATATTCCAGTAGGGCTGGAATGGAGGCAATAATTCTATCCTAGTGCCCCACCCCTCCGACCCACATAGGTTTTCTCTGCACATTTGAATTACAGTACTGTATATGAATTATAACTTGTTCACTCAGAAACACATTTGAAATCAATGCAATGTGTTGACCTGTAGCAGCACTGAACTGAGACTGACGGTGCTAAATCAGTGTATAATGAAGCATGCTTATTTATGTTAAAATAAATTGGATTTATTATGAGTAACTTCAATGAAACTGAAACCTGTGTTCCTGTGGATAATGTAGCATCCCAGCAGAAACGAGAAATATGTCAGGAATTCTGTTATGAGCTCCTGGTCACAACATTTATTTATCACATATTTAAAATAGGCTTATACATAATTGTTATGTATAATTTCCAAATTATCCTCCATACGTTGATTGAGAGAATAAAACATTAAAACAGTAAAATAAAGATAATTTTTTTTAAAAAAAACAGCCATAATAGTATAAAAAATAGACTAAAAAGGCTTTTTAAAAATCAGTTTTAAACAGCTTGGTCTTTAAGCCTTGTTTTTAATAAGTAAGGGAGGGAACAATGGGTTCATCTTCGAGGACTGTTTGAGGAGGGTGAAATGGGGTGTTACAATGCAGCTCTGTTGTCAATAGCCTGCAACAACAGCAAATTTTACAACAGAGAATAAGAAGTCAAGCCAAAGGTGTATTAATTATGCATATTGTGGAGGAAGTGGTGAAGGATACATTTTCTGCCTCTCTCGAGAATCCATGAGTATCCATGAAGCTAAATGGTGGAACAATTGGATCAAAGGCAGTACCTCTTATATAGTGCATACAGTGCACATTCAAACTAATTGAATTATTACCACAGGACAGAATGCATTGCGCATTGCAGTCTAATTATTACAGAATTTAATGGAAGAAAAGGCTGTTAATGGATACTACTCACAATGAGTATCCATTACCTCCAGGATTAAAGGTAATGCGAATACCAGCTGCTGATGCTATATGAATGGTAGACTACTGCTGTTCCCTATGTCATGCTTGTAACTACCACAAACATAGACCCATGATCTTCCAACAAAAGGTGAAACATTAGGTGAGGAAAAGAATATGGATATTTCATAAAACGTGCAGATGTATTATTGCGCAATAGCGGAGGAATTACTCTAAAAACAAAATGAAAACCATGATGTTTGGGAGCTGACACCCCCCCAAAAAAAACCCAAGCAATTGCAATAGTTGGACGTGTGCTTTTAGAGTTTGTTGTTGTTGTTGTTGTTGTTGTCTAGCTATTATGACCCACAATAAAGAATTTACTCTTAGTACATGAACCAAATTTTGTTAATAGGGCTCCACCTTAAAACAGGTGTGCAGTCAGTCACAGAGCCAGCAGATGAGACTGATGCAGTCCATGAAATGTGTATTGGACATGAGCTAATGTCGACATCATGTGATGTGCCCAGTGATTGCTTGTTCAAACTAAGTGCTGCACACTATGATGTTGCGTGGAGTGTTGTGTTGGAAAGTTACAGCACTAAGTGCTGTTGATTTATTTACTGAAAAGTGTATTATTAAGTCTGTTGACTGATGTATATAGTTCTGTCGTAGATAGTCTGTAAATACACTGCTGGTGAAGGAACCTACTGTCTCTGTGAGTCTCTTTGCTGTCAACCTGGAAGACTGACTTGTCTTGGAACCATCTCCCACACCCCAGGTCTTGACAGTTGTTGTTTAGGGGGAGGGAACAAATCTTCCATTGTCTAAATTGGAGAGCTACATTTTCAGCCCCGAGTGATTCCATTGGTTCCTGCTGCTTCTATTTAATCCATCATCAAGAATATTCCTTTTCCTTCCAAAACTGTAGGTTGTTCCTTTGCAAATACATGCAGATCCAAACAATTTTTCACTTGGGTGTCAGTCTGACTTCTTAGTAAACTAGCTAAAATAGGCTGTTAGTATAATCTGCAGAATATTTGGAACATCATATGTTACCACAGATACTTCATAAGGAATATGGTAACAATAAATAGGTTGTTTGTTTGTTTGTTTGTTTGTTTGTTTGTTTGTTTGTTTGATTTGATTTGATTTGATTTGATTT